GTTCATTACATAAGAAATGACCATATATATAGGCCTCAAAATGACAACGGAAACAAAAGACTAAAATGCCCCTTGGGCTACAATAGAGACCAAATACCCATAAGGGTAAAAATGGAAAAATAAAATAAATTACTACATAACATGACAAAATAAATAAAACTCTTGATCGTGGCCGTCGATCTCCGATGTCTCCGATGGCACACATGTCAAAATTGCTGACGATGTCCTCATCATAAGTCTTTCTTTATTTGAAATGTAAGAGTTTGTTTATTTTATCACGTAGGAGTCCCCTTTCTTTTATTCGGGCCTCCTCTTTGTGGGCAGAGGTCCTCGGGCCCCCCATCCCCCGGATTTTTGCCCGCATCACCAAGCAACTAAATTCTGAAATTTATCTAAGATTTAGTTAAATAGGAAAGGGGGTTTGAATTTTGAAATTTGAATCTCAATTTCAAAGGAGGAATAATGGGAGTTGAAAAAGGGGGGGGGGGAGGTTAAGGGGATGGCGGCATACATGGGGAAAGAGGGGGAATTGAGAGGGAATTTAAAGTTTCCTAATTCCTTAATCCACTTTAGGAAGAGGATAAAGAAATCAAATCTAATTTAAAATTAAATTAGACTTAATTTTAGGAACTTTCCTAATTTAGCTTGGTTAATTTAGGAATGTATTTGAAATTCAAATTTGAATTTCAAATTGAATTAAAACCTTTCCCAAATAATTTAGGCAAATTTAGGCTAGTACTAATAATGATTGAAATCATCATTAAGAGGGGTAATGAAGTGTGGCCGGTGGCTATGAGTGGGATTGGGAGAGAGGGGCGGGTGGTGGGCTAGATTGGCGGCTATTGGTGGGAGAGTAGTGGGGGTTGGCGGGTAGGAGGAAGGTCGTGTTGGGGCCGCGGTTTGATGGGGAAGAAAGGGTGGCCGGGGTTTGAGGTAAGGTGGAGAGATGGCCGGCGGTTGGAAACAAGGGACGGAGTCGAACCACGAGCCGGGGACACTTCCGACGACTGGTTAAGGGGACGGCGGCATACATGGGGAAAGAGGGGGAATTGAGAGGGAATTTAAAGTTTCCTAATTCCTTAATCCACTTTAGGAAGAGGATAAAGAAATCATATCTAATTTAAAATTAAATTAGACTTAATTTTAGGAACTTTCCTAATTTAGCTTGGTTAATTTAGGAATGTATGACTGGTAGGTGTTGCTTTGCCCACACCTTGGGACTTTACCACTCGAGAACTCACAAGCTCTCAAGAGAATAAATTTTTTTTATTAATCAAACATTAACCCTAATACAAGACTAAGGACCTCATATATAGGCTTTAAAAGAGAAAAGAAAAGAAAAGAAAAGATTGAGATGCCCTCAGGGCTACAACTCAAACTAACTACCCACAGGGGTAAAATAGGAAAAATTGAAATATGAAATAAACAATACATAAAATGCATCAAAAGTAAAGGCTCCTGATCTTGATCATTGATCTCCGGTGTCTCCTCTGATAAACACATCAAAATCTTCTTATGATGTCCTCATCATGACGTCTGTAGTTTTGTATGTATGAGGAGCTGATACTACTTGCAACTTTTTTGGGGTAAAGATGGGAGGAAAGGATTCAAGTAGCTGATAAAAGGTGTTCCTACGGCATTCATCATCTTATTTGCAAAAATGAAAAAAAAAGGTTCCGAATGGCCTATCAGATATTGAGTGAGATTAATGAACGTGATGAATTTTAGTAGTGGTAATGTGGCAAGAAGTTGTGTAAATTGATTTATGTATACTATATTTTATATGATATATGCAACATTTTCTAGGAAATAATGAAAAAGGATGTATATAACTGACCAAAAATAGTTTTAATGATATTAAATATGATGACGATTCATGCCCTAGTTTTATCCCACTGCTTGGATTGAAATCAAAAATTTGTTATATGTAGTTTTGCTGTACTATAGAAGTTTTGTTTTATGCACACATTTATCCCTTCTATATAACCAAGAAATTTCCTTTATACAGGTTCCAGGTGAATTTAAAGACATTTTTGATAACACAGTTGTTGCTGCTCTGTCTCATTCTTCAGTACATGTAATGTCTTCTCCTACATTTTTATTTCAAAATCATTATTCTTTCAACCAAAGGGAACAAATTGTTTATCTTCATTATAATTGTAACTTTTACTATTAATGTGATCATATATTTTGTTGGCCTAGGTTAAATGGTAAATATTTGTAATTTTACTTGCATCAAATTTCTCTCTACCTTGAAATTTGGTCGATCCTGGACTAGGCGTCTCCTGGCATCCATTTATGTCTGGTTTAACGTAACATTAATATTGTACGGATTTTACATTTGCTTAGCAAGATTTTGTGTGAAACTATAAGTAAAGCATTTATTGCCTTTTTTTCAAGCCACACCAGTGCAACTTTTTTTTGTCTTAAAAATGATCATCTGCTTGCATTGTTTCTTATATTTTGACTTTCCAGTTATTAGCACATGCCATTCTTTCTTATTGGAATACTCAGGTGTGATGCTGGGTTTTCAAAGAATGTTTTTGTTTAATTTGATTTATACTCGTTTTTTTTGAATTTCTTTATGAAGTTTTCTTCCATTCCCTTTGATCTTTACTTAATTATAATGTTTTGTTATTGTTGCATGTTTTCTTCCGTGATTGCTGAACAGATGGATAATTTTTATTTCTGAACTAGAAGTATAAGGCATAATTTGTAATTATGTTCTTGACATTTTGCCTGTGCTTGTAATTAACTGTTTGGTTATTCTTGTTTGCCTATGTTATTTATTCTAAGAAGGCCTTGGAAACCTTTAAATTTGGTGGGGGCAACTGTTGCTTATTGCCGATTCTGAGATCATGGCTTAACCTGAAAGTCATGTGACAAAGTAAAGCTTCAAAATAAATGGTTCCAATATTAAAGGTAGAATCGCAAATTAGGGATTGCTGAAATTAACTCAGATTTGCTTGTATCTGAATTTTGACTGAAAGGGATGCTGTGTACGCTGCTGAGTGCGTTGGACTAGTTTAGGTTGTCAATACAGGTATTAAAGGGGGAGGACTTGGTGGGCGTTTGTTGGGATTAGGAGGAAGAGAACTGAGAAGGGGGACTTGAGAGAATACTGTTATGACTGGCTCAAGAGCTCGGAGCATCGAGGTAGTAACAGACAACTGTGATCAAAGAGGGCGAATTGCTCATGCATGCTCGATCTATTGTTACCAAAATTTACATAACGATGAAATGATTACATGCGGGCATTTCAGGATTTCTAACATAAATTACATTGCATACATTTCATAAAATAAGTTATAGTAATGCATAATTATTGAAGATATCATTCAAACTATAAAAGACGTACTAAATAATCTTTTCACTCAAGATAACTATAAGATACAAAACTGTGCTTGTATACCCTTATATATTTTCATGCGACCCTCATTATAAGATTTATCCAGATAAGCATTGTAATTCTTTGAATCTAATAAACCATAGCATAACACATAAGAATATTAGTGTTTAAAATTTCACTATATATCTATCATATTTACACATGTAATTGACATTACTTTCTCCTTGTTGATTGTACATCAAATCTTATCTATGACTCATCTACTTAATCAAAGGCTTTCATGAAAAATGATCATAAATTAATGGGGGTGAATTGCATATGTACAAAATATTTAACTTAATGGGTGTATCACAATTCTAAATAATAGTAAATATAATTAGAAGAAACAATGTGATGTGAGCTCTTAAAATTCGTGCCTGACTTTGCTAAGAGAGTTTATGTTTTGGGTAAAAATTTTAAAAGACAGATTAGCTTGCATATATTGCTCAGGAGATTTTGTGTGAAACCCCTTAAGTAATAGAAAGCCTAATTCTTAAACATCGAGGTGCCTTTTGGTGTAATGGATGGAATTTTTGTAAGAAACTCCGCAGTTAAGCATGCTCATCCCAGAGCCATTCTGTGATGGGTGACCTACTGGGAAGTTACACCAACAAGGCAAAACCGTGAGGCCCTTTGATGCGATCAAAAAATATAGGAGACCCTATATCTCTTGATCACAGAAGAGGATACGGACTTCTACCGACGAAAATGACTAAGGACGAGAAGAAGGACGAATAAACTCTTACATTTCAAATTAAAGAAACTAAAAGAAATTAAAAACACAAACTCGACTCGATCTCAAAGACACCCTAAAGTTGCTGCACTTAGCGAAGAGGGATACAGGTGGAGTGGCACTTGCGGAGAGACGAAAGAGGTTAGAAGCCCGAGAAGAAAGGGTGGAAAGAGCCCGCAGGATTTCCAGAGGGGATGAAAAAGAAGGGTGGAAAGAGCTCGCAGGATTTCCAAAGCAAACCCGCAGGTTATAACTTTTCCAAAAATCACATCATATTCAACTATTTCAAATAATACATAACCCCTCATATTTATAAGTATGAAAGGGGAATACAAAAGGACACAAACATTTAATTATCACAATAACCTAAGCATTAAAAGCATGGGAATCTCCCCCCCAAGCTCTCGGTTTAACACCCAAACCAGGAACCATGGAGACAGCCACGGAAGACGAAGGAACCGTACGGACCAAAGAGCCACGGCCACGGGAAATGAAGGAACCGCACGGACCAAAGAGCCACGGCCACGGGAGAAGGAGCCCAGCCGTGAGATCCCAAGAGGCACACACGGAAAAACAAAAAGCCATGGTGGAATTCAAGGAGCCACCATGGGAAAAGAAATCTTGGAATTTCAAAGGCTGGTTTGGAATTCCAAGAGACAAACATTAAAACAAACATAAAAAACATAAAATTACATTAATTAAAAGATAAATATGAGCTAAAAATCCTAGCTAATAATGAGCTAATCCCTAGTTCAATAAATGAACTAAGCCATAAGCTCAATTGGATTGTAGCTACTAGACTTCAAGGAAGCCAAAATTTGAATTATTTTTGGACCTTGTGTTGACCCCCCCCCCTTGTACTACATCAGACTCCCCTTCTTGCGAATTCAGCTCCTGATGAATTATCTGTTGATTCCCTTGAGGCGGTGCATACTGTTCATCGAGCTCCTTGAGTTTTCACCAAACCTTTTCAGAATTTCAGCTTGTTTCCTTTCAATTGCTGTTGCAGATACCTTTGATTTTTCAAACTTTTGATCACAATAGGAACATATGTATACTGCAATTTGTAGAGTCGATCTTGAAGTGGATCTGATGATCACCTTCCTTAGGTATCCACCTGGTAACGGGAGTGGGACATTAGGATCATGTTGCTCGCTTTCCTCCATGAATGATGCCATATTTTGGTATTTTCCATTTTTACTCAATAAAAAAATTACAAGACTCAAACTAACAACTTAAGACACAAAATAAGACTCTTTGACAAACTCGACAAACTCTGACTTGACTTGCCACAACTTTGACAAACACTGATTTGAAAACAAAACTCGACAAACCAACATAGGATTTCCTAACTTGCTCTGATACCAATTGATGCGAGCAAAAAATATAGGAGACCCTATATCTCTTGATCACAGAAGAGGATACGGACTATCTACCGACGAAAATGACTAAGACGAGAAGAAGACAACAAACTCTTACATTTCAAATTAAAAAGAAACGAAAAGAAATTAAAAAAACACAAACTCGACTCGATCTCAAAGACACCTAAAGTTGCTGCACTTTAGAGAAGAGGGATACAGGTGGAGTGGCACTTGCGGAGAGACGAAAGAGGTTAGAAGCCCGAGAAGAAAGGGTGGAAAGAGCCCGCAGGATTTCCAAAGCAAACCCGCAGGTTATAACTTTTCCAAAAATCCCATCATATTCAACTATTTCAAACAATACATAACCCTCATATTTATAGGTATGAAAGGGGAATACAAAAGGACACAAACATTTAATTATCACAATAACCTAAGCATTAAAAGCATGGGAATCTCCCCCCCAAGCTCTCGGTTTAACACCCAAACTAGGAACCAAGGAGACAGCCACGAAAGACGAAGGAACCGCACGGACCAAAGAGCCACGGCCACGGGAAACGAAGGAACTGCACAGACCAAAGAGCCACGGCCACGGGAGAAGGAGCCCAGCCGTGACATCCCAAGAGGCACACACGGAAAAACAAAAAGCCATGGTGGAATTCAAGGAGCCACCATGCGAAAAGAAATCTTGGAATTCCAAAGGCCGGTTTGGAATTCCAAGAGACAAACATTAAAACAAACATAAAAAAGCATAAAATTACATTAATTAAAAGATAAATATGAGCTAAAAATCCTAGCTAATAATGAGTAATCCCTAGTTCAATAAATGAACTAAAGCCTAGCTCATAAATGAGCTAAAATTCTAGCTCAATTGGATTGAGCTAGTAGACTCAAGGGAAGCCAAAATTTGAATTATTTTGGACTTGTGTTGACCCCCCCTTTGTCTACATCACCCTTTTGCCAAAGCTGGTAATATCTCGATAATTAAGAGTTTGGGCTGTTACAAATGGTATCAGAGCAATACATCAGCCGGAAGATGAGTTCTAAGTTCCATACAAGGCAAAGTGCTACGCCATGGGAGCCACCTCTTGAACCCTATGTGGGACAAAGTGCTACATGACGGAAGCCACCGCTTGAGCTTGTAGGGGCCACCTCTAGTGTCCTATCTGCCTGGTGGATGATTCTGGGATACAGATGCTGACGAGGACGTCAATTACTTAAGTGGGGGAGATTGTGAAACCCCTTAAGTAGTAGAAAGCCTAACTCTTAAACATCGAGACGCCTTTTGGTGTAATGGCTGAAATTTTCGTAAGAAACTCCGCAGTTAAGCGTGCTCATCCCAGAGCAATTCTGGGATGGGTGACCTACTGGGAAGTTACACCAACAGGGCAAAATCGTGAGGCCCTTATGCCAAAGCGGATAATATCTCGATAGTTATGAGTTTGGGCTGTTGCATTTTGCCTCTATCTTAGAGAACTTTAAAATTTTATTACAGGTTTCTTTGTGGTGCAGGCCGCTATGGTTACTCATCTCTCTCAGTGATGAGAGAGAACTTTTAATTATGGCTAGTTGATAGCACTTAGTGCTTAGCGTATAGTAGCAGTGATTCATGATTTTAGAATTGAGAAAATATTCTTTCGTTAAGTTAAAACGGATGATGAGGGGGATGATGATGAACTTGATAAAAATCTCATAATATTATTGTGCTAGGTTATCATGATCCCTATTCTTTTTAATCAGTGGAGGTAGCAGAACCATCTTGATCGAATGGTCCTTGTTGGTAACCATATGTTGCTTTATCCAAGAGTACCTTAGACCTTAGGTGGATACTTTTTTGAGGGGACATTCTAATCTACCTTAGCTAGTAGAGGTTTTCTGTCCTATTAGATGTACTATATGATTTATCACTTAGGAGATTTGGAACTAGTAGGGAACATTGTAGCTTTGACCGTAGCTATAATTTAATGGCGCAATCCTGTAGCTAACCACACAATCAGAGGACCTTGGTTATAATTATTTACCTGCGGTGCTTTTTGACAACAAAATCATTAGTTAGAAGATGTGCTATATCTTTATTGGCAAGAGATTATTTGAGAGTTAACATTGCGATGCGCTCGATGAGATATTAGCTCTTTGTAAGCTGAGATTGTTCTTAAATTACCACTCTCGATGAACCATTGCAAAATGTGAATGATTGTTCCTTTAAGTTTTAGGTAGTAGATCTCACTTGAACGTGATAAATTTTATGCTGATATTGGATTTTTAAATCTTTATTGGAATTTGGACCCCAAATAATCTTGCTTTGAGCTTTCGGGGCATTTTGAAAATAGGCCTCCTCTTGTTAATACTTGCGTTCAACATGGTCATTATCAGAATTTTTTGATGATTTCTATCTCCTTGAACCTTGTTTAGCTTGTGCGCACGTGTTGGTTGAGGATCATGTTTGTAGATTTGTTTGATGAGTTACCATATAGGCGGGTGACTTCAGGAGTTTGGATTTTAAAATAAATTTCGTTTATTTAAAGCTTTTAAAGACTAAAATGAATATAAAAACCTAATTCTTCTATTATGAAATTTGTGAATGAATAATCTAATTACATATTAGAACAATGTTAGTTTGCTTACGTATGTTGAGATTTGGAATTGAAATCTTTTTGTCTCAATTTCATTTAGAATCATTTTACAGTTGCCAAATGTTTGTCTTATCGACTCCAATCTTTTTGAGGTGGGTTATTAGACTTTGAGAATGAGACTTTTGACTATGTTCTATGGATAGGTGATTCGGCCTGAGGATTTTTGCACAACATGATGAGTTTGAATTTTGCAAGAGAGTTTTGATGGTTCAAAGTTATTGCATGCTTTTCAAAAGAGGTGCATGACTCTCAAAGTATGATAAATTTAAATTCATCTTATTCTTTGTTCGAACATTCTCATATTTTAAATATAAGTGTTCAACATATTTTTTAGAACACGTGGTTATTTTTATTTTTAGTGCTCTTGCATGTAATTCGTGCACATGCATTGGGCACTTGCATATTTTTAATTAAAATATGTTTTTTAATGTACGCTTGTGATTTTTAGTGTGCTTACCTAGAGTGTTTACATGCTTCTCAGTACATTTGCACCGTGCAATTTCACACTTTTTGATGTCATACATGATTCATTTACATGTTTTTCTATATATTTGTATAATACTCTTGCTTTTTTTGATGCATTTGTGTTGTGTACTTGCATGTTTTTTAATGCACATATATAGTGAATTTGAACACTTTTTTAATTTGCACACTTTTCAGTGGGTTTTGGTGCATTTGCACAGTGTATATACATACTTTTAAATGTGCCTACATGATGCACTTTTATGCTCTTTGATACATTTGCATGCATTTTGATGCAATTTCACCTTTTTAATGTATTTGTATGGTGTATTCTAGGGGTGTAAAAAATAACCAAACTCAAAAAATTTGGGTTTTTTGGATCCGTTTAATTAATGGGTTGGGTTTGCGTTCGAAATTTCAACCATATATTAAGCAAGTTGGGTTTGGGTTGACCCATGAACCTTTTTTTTTTTACCAGTTTATTTTTTTTTCTAACTGCTTTTACTTGTTAGTTTAATATCCTTATATTTTGATCAATTTACTTATAGTGTTCAAGTTATAATTTTTTTAATCAAAATAGGTTATCGGGTCAGTTTGGGACATTCAAGTTGCCAGCAGGTCAGGTTCGATCTATCATTTTAATTTTTTTTAAATAGGCCAGGTTTGCATTGATTGAATTTGGGTCGAATCCGAACTTAGAACCATTAACCCATTTTGATATCCTAGTGTATTCACATTCTTTTCAAGGTAGTTACATGCCTCTTGGGGATTTTGAGTGCTTTTCGACATAATTTGCACTTTTTAGAGCACTTGTGCAACTTTTGAGACGCGGTATTTGAGTTGAAAGATTGGCTCATGAAACACGTACAAGACTTGGAATCTTTTGTATATGATTGCTTACATGATTATTTGATCAGAAAGAAGTCATCATCAATAGGTCCATGTTGACTTATCATATTGGGAACGTTGTATATATTGAAGTATGGAGATCCATAATTGTGGTATCCGAAGATGTTTTAAGTTGTGCAGCAGGTTTCAAGTGAGAGGCTAGCATTATATCATTTCATTTGGCTAGAAATTAACTTCCTCGGTTATATTTGTGGTGCGACACTAATAGCTTTAAATTATAGGATTGTGATTGGGGCAATGAAAATTATTGGGATCCAAGTGAAATCATAAACAAACCATAACAGATGAAATGTGGGTTTTGCAAATATCTATTGCAAAATGTCCAGGCGTGATGAGTAGTTATTTCCATCTTTGATACATTGATAAAATATCATCCACAAACTCAGCCCTTTTTGGCCGGCCGGTGGGATTTTGTATCTCATTCTAACTCATCAACTTAAGCAGAACGTTTATATGTACCAGGTATAAGGCCTTTAATCTTTTTTTCTTCTCTCAAAAATTTTCTTCTCTTTTCAGCAAAATATCATCCAGAAAATGTGTCCTATTTGGCGGGCCGGTGGGATTTTGTATCTCATTCATAACTCATCAACGTAAGCAGAACGTTTTTATGTGCTAGATATTAGGCCTTTAATCTTTTTTTATTTGCTTAAATTTTTCTTCTGTTTTGAGCGAGAAATTTGCACTAGTTGTGAATAATGTATGCCGATTCTATTGTTAAAGTACTAGTTGTGAATATTGTATGCTGATTCTATGGTTAAGTACGGATTAATGCTTTGGAACTTCAGTATAATTTTGATTAACTTCTATTCAAATCAGATAAATGGTATCTCGAGGAAAATTATCATATGTATGGAAAAGTTAAATTTTTTTTTTTTTTTTTCTGTTTTTTAATTTTTTTGTATCTATTTTTCTTGTTATTCTTAGTTATATTTTATCTGAGATTTTAAATCTAGTGGCCTTTTACTTTTTGAAGATTTCTTTATCTGATGCTTAAGGATTAAGTTCATTGCATAGGTACGCATAGAAGCAGCTTTGACATTGCGTGCGTTGGCTGAGGTTGATCCTACTTCTGTTGGAGGTCTTATTTCTTATGGTGTTACTACATTATATGCTTTGAGAGAAAGTGCTGCTAATGGAAAGGTAATAAGTCAGTAAGTTTCTAGTTATGCAGTCAAGTCTAAAACTTTCATAATGATACTGAAAATTCCATTCATTAATAAAAAGGGGAACCAGTTAAATAATGAGCTGTTCTCATTGCACGGGCAAGCAACTTTTATAGCAGCACTTATTTCCATATCACCGAAGCTGCCACTCGGTTATCCTTCCAGGTAAAGTTCACTGCCGCGATTTTATTCTCAGCAGATTTGAAGCATTGTTTTGAATGCATGTTACTGATGAAACTTTGCTAATTTTCTAATTTCTCAGCCTAGTAATTGGCATGTCACAAGCAAAAATCTCCAATTTATGCATGTAAAATGTATTACACGCATTTGAGTTTTTTAGCTTTGCTCAACTGCATATTAAGGTGTATCATAGAACAATTGCCTCAAAAAAATAACGAGTATGCACAAATTTTAAGCCCTATCTTCACAGCAAAGCGTTTAATTATTTTTAAAGTTGCTGTAGTTCAAGGAACTGTTGTTATTCTATAGCTTCATTTGATTTCATTTGAAGAATAAAGAAATGGAAGCTTGCCAGCCTGCCCAGCGTGAGAGTGTTATGATGACCCCTATTGTACATTTTATCATGACAATATAAGCCTCTGCAAATCAATACATGCAAATAGGACAGGTAAAGAGATTTTATACTGAATAGATAGCTCACATGTAAAGATCATGACAACAACAACAACATCAACATCAAGCTTTTATCCTATTACTTGGGCTCGGCTCCATTAATTCTTTTTCTCCATTGTGTCCTATTAAGAGTCTAATAAATGTTCTTTCTAATATACTTTCTAATCAAGTCTTTTTATTTCTACCTTTACCTTTCTTGATATAGGCCAGATATAATATATTTACTCTTCTAACTGGATGATCAGAAATCCGACGTTTATGTGACCAAATTATTTAAGGAGATTCTCTCTAATCTTAGCTGCCACTAGACCTACTCCAACCTTTTCACATATATACTCATTTCACATTTTGTCTCCAAGTGTAAACCACTCATCCACCCAAGCATTCTCATCTTTGCAAACCTTTATGCTTCTCTTCTAATGGCTAACATTCTAAGCCATAAAGCTTTACAAGTCTTACCACCATCTTATAAAGTTTTTCCTTAAGTTTGACGGGTACTTTTTTATCACACATGCCTGATGCATTCCTCCACTTCAACCATCCAATTTGAATTCTACTAATACTGTCCCCATCTATATCACCATCGCTTTGAACAATCGGCTCGAGATATCTAAAATGTGTACTCTTTTTATTTACTTGATCACCTATTGTAACAATCTCACTAAATTTATGATGTATGCAACTTAAAGCAAAAACACGAAGAGAGAACAAAGAAATTCAAGACTAGCTCTTTAGAAATTTAAGACACCACTTGGAGAACAAAATAGGCTAAATAAACAACTAAATTTCAGAACAGAAAAGAAGCGATCATCCAACAAAGCCAAAGCAAAAAAAAGTTAACAAAAGAAACAAACTAAAACAAACAAAAGCTATCCTCAGAACATCCTACTAGAGGACTCCTCACATTCACCGATTGTAGGAATATATTTTAAAATAAGGTTTAGATATGCAAACCAAGGGTCCACCACTGCAAAGGGGGGGTTCCAATGTAAAACCCGAAAATGGCGCTTTAGTCCTCGCACGCTTTTCAAAGCGCCGCGACGTACTTTAAGTGAAAATTTTGAAGTTGTCGGATTTCGACGCAAATAATTTTATAAAATAGAGCGCAAAATTCTAAGAAATTTGATGTAAAGGACTTATATTTGATTTTGCTTAATTTAAGAATTAAAATTAAGAGAAGTCTCATAATGCCAATTCTACCCCTAATGTTTATTCTAGTATGGGTTACTTAAGTGAGGGCAAATAGGTAATTAGGCCTTTCCCTTAACTCCTAAGCCTTAAGGGGACCGATTCTATTCGGTCCCCTCATTTATTTCGTTCGGCCGAAAGCACGAACAGAGGGAGAAGGCGGACGGGTAGGCGGACGGGAGAGGAGAACGGGTGGCTTCGGCGGTGGATTCCGGCGGCCAACCTTGGGGAAAATCGTAGGGGAGACTAAGGGAAAGCAAAGGTATGTAATAGAACTAGGTTTTTCCCTCTTATTCTCAAGATTTTTGGATGAGAAGATTTCTAGGGTTTGAGAAAAACTTGAGTTTTCTTTGAGATTCTTTTGAGAAAAGTTTAGGGAAGATTAAGAGGATGTTTCTAAACCCTAATGTACTTTTTCTTTCATAAAAATATGAGTTTTGTAAATTAGGGTTTCACTTAAAATTGACCCTCTTTGGAAAAGCCTTCACAAAAGGTATTTCTAAGGGTATGGGGAAGCTTTTATGTGAAGACATTTTAAGGTAAAAACAAAGTTTTGAGTTTATGGAAGTTAGGGTTTCACTCAAAAATGGTTTTCTTTCAAATACCATTCACAAAGATGTTTCCTAATGATTCTTAGAAGATAATTATGGAATTTGATTTAAGTTTTATAAGAATAAATTATATTTGGTAAAATTAGGGTTTTGTGAAGATGAGAGTTTCCTTTGGGTTAAGCTTAGAGAAATGTAAGGTGGTGTTTTAAAATCCTAATGTGAGTTACTTTTATAAAAAAAAAAAATAGTTCTTTTTGAAACCTAGGTTTTTTTTTTTAGGGTATGAGGGAGAAAACTTATATCTATACCTTATGTTTGCCACTTGTAGGATTGAATTTCGTAAGAGGAAAAGGGGGTGTGAGGACTTTTGAAGGATCGCCTTGTGGTGGACGGATTGAGGTAGGTGGAATGAATATTCAAATGAATTTTAAACAAATTTTCCTTCAATTGCTAATTACATTGAATATGACAAGTTCCTTTATGTTTATTATGAGACTTTTATGTTTTATATTCCCTTGTAAGCTTATGGATATTTGATACGAATGCAAAGTTCTCTTTATGCAAATGTGCAACCTATGGATTTCATGCTCATTCTCTAATTATGTTTTACATGTCATTTCTCTTACATGCAAAAGTACATAAGCATGCATTTCTTTAAGGAATTACACATGTGAGTAGTCTAAGAATGAATTACATCAAGCATACCCTATGGTTATATAAATAATATATGTGTGTGCATGTTGACGCGGGAGTATCACATGGAAAAGGAGGCTCTTATGAGCCATGGAAAAGGAAGCTCTTATGAGCTATGGAAAAGGATGGTTCCTATGAACCAATGGAAAAGGAAATGGCCAAATTATGTGTACCTGATCAGTACAAGTGATACTCCTGAGACGGGTGTTATAGTTATAAATATATTAAACTATTTATGAATGTTTCATACATGTTATATACAATTGAAATTACTACTTGAGGCATGATGTTCTCTAAAGGATAAAAGGAAAGGTTATGGAAGGATTATGCATTTTGAAAGTTGAGGTGAAGGTATGTTCTTCTTTGAGTACAACTTTTTATGATTGATGATTCTTTTATTAAAATTTCCCAAGCATGCTATAGTTCTCTATCTTAATGTTAAAGTTCATTTCAATTTCCATTCTCACCTATTGAGTAAGACTCACCCTCGTTGTGGGATCACATTTCAGGAGGATCTAGGAAGGAGTAAATGACTGACCAACCTCCGCTCACTTACCGTC